CGGTTTCTTATCTGTAGCAAGGAGTTCTGTGTTGAAGGCAAGAGGATGCGAAGGGAGCTGCCCCCAAGTTTGGGGCCTTCCCACCTCCACAAGGGTTGGAGATCTTTGGCACTTGGGAATCCTTGTACTGAGCAATGACCTTGTTTTCTCCAGTTTTGGATCTACAAGTGGCAGAAATATCATTTTGGCTGAGCTGGGAGTATGGCAGTGTTGTCCAAACTTGGCCACTTTAAGATGAGTGGACTTCAACTCCCAGAATTGATTAATTCAATTTTTAAAGACGAAGCTCCCCCCAACTCTGAAACATAAAAACCATTCTGCCTCCTGCGAAACACAGAAGCATCTCATCCTAACTGCCTCTTTGGCTTGAGCAGGAGAACTTGGTTCTTCATCCATCATTTTTTGTCCGTCTCAGGCCACTGAACTCTGAAATTAGGTGAAAGGGAAGAAGCTTCGTCAACTTGGTGCCCTCCAGATGTACGGGACTGCAAATCTTGTCACTTGAAAATGCAATGTGCTTGCAAGGATTAGAAATTACGGGCCCACAGTCCAAATATCTGAGCTCTGGCCAGCTCAGGAGTTCCACCAACACCATGGGTGGGTTGCAGTTTGAATGGGAACATAGGCTTTCTGGGGAGATGAACTCCATCAAATAAAATCACATCGTTCTGAGCTTGCAAAAAAGGGTATTAAAGTCTGGCTTTCTCTAATTAGATTGCAGAAAAATAACCCGACACGTTTTGCCTGTAGTTCTTCCTGCAGCTTCCTTTAACTGTTGACAGGCAAGCTGAAGTTCATCATCTCCAACTGGCCAGAAAAAAGAAGACTTAAAATACGCAATTGCAGGACACCACAACCTACACAGTGAAGGGAATAATGAGAGAAAGAACAACAAAGAAAAATGAATTAGATTTATTACATTTTATTATATAATATATTATATAATATAATATATAATATATTAAAATAAATAATAATATATTTATTATTAGATTATTAAAAGACCTGGAATACAGCAGTACAAAATGCAAACAATATTGGTCATGTTACATAAAAAGGGGAGGAAAGTTTAAACCACAAAAGAATCGTCAGTAATCAACTATCAGAAATAGAAGCAGCTAATTCAACTATTCCAGGTTCATTTGCCAATGCTGTCCTTAGTTTGATAGCCTAAAATTTAGCAGGGTCGCCCATTATAGCTGCCTCAATGGTAACCCTGTAATTTCTCTCACTATCTATCATATATTGTATTAAAATATATGCATTTTTATATGCATAGTGTAGAATGACAACAAAGACCTGGTTTACTCAGGACAAAGAACAAATTATCTTTCTCATAGGTGTCTCCAAGGGAACAAAGGGCAACATTTGCATTGCAACATCCCAATGTTTGTGCGAACACTGCAGATGTTGTGCTGAAATCTCTTTGCTCCAGCTAAGAAGCCGTCCTGCTGCAGCAAAGAAGGTGCAGCTGATCGTCCAAACTTGATGATAACTCCTTTGCTTGAGCTAGCTGAGTTGTCCTTAGAAGCTCTCCGTTGCATTTCAGGCTGAGAAATTCTGCGGTTTCTTATCTGTAGCAAGGAGTTCTGTGTTGAAGGCAAGAGGATGCGAAGGGAGCTGCCCCCAAGTTTGGGGCCTTCCCACCTCCACAAGGGTTGGAGATCTTTGGCACTTGGGAATCCTTGT